CTGCTGTTATTTTTATCTCGAAAGAAAGATTTTGAGCGGTGGCCAAGCTGTGCTGAGGGAGGGAGAGGCTTTTGTGTGGCCAGAGCTGTAAACACAGCCCTGGCCTCGGTGGGCAGGGCAGGGGGAAGGTCCCAGCCCAGCCCAGCCCAGGGATTGGGATCGCAGCTCTGGGATGCTGAGGTGGAGCAGATTTGGGTCCCCCCAGATCGGTGCTGTCCCCTCCATGCAGAGCCACGCTTGGGTGCAATGCTGGCTCAACCAGCCCAGAATTCACTTTTTTCTGAGTCAATTTAAACAAAATCCTTGGAAGAACCAGCTCTAAAAACGCTTTCACCTTCCCACAGCCACGAGGAGCATCCCACAGGACGCCAGGTCCATCCCATTCCTTCCTGACCACAAAACAGAGTTTGGGGAGCAGGTGCTGCACCCCAGGAGCCTCCTCTGCCTGGATCCAGCCACATCCTCCTCTCCCACCTGGAATTCCAGCAGCTCCCATCCTGGAGCTGCTCCGGAGGTCACCGAGACGCTCGGGAGCTCTGCACGAGGAGCTCGGCTTAAATGTCAAATTAATTAATGGGGAGAGAGGGAGGAGTGGCCACAAAGAGCTCCCTGTTCCACCTCCGGAGCTGGGCCGGGCCACGGAAGGACCTGGACACTCCCCGTGGCAAATATTTCCCCCAGGGCATGGAGGGGACAGGGGACAGCAAAAAACACGGGTGGGAAACTGGAAATGACACAAAACAAAGGTGGGAAACTGGGAATGGCACAAAACACGGGTAGGAAACTGGGAATGGCACAAAACAAGGGTGGGAAACTGGGAACGGCACAAAACAAGGGTGGAAAATCTGGGAAAGGCACAAAACAAGGGTGGGAAACTGGGAATGGCACAAAACACGGGAAAGGCTCCGCACCTCCCTCCACACCCGAGCGGTGGCTCCGGAGCCAGGCAGGGACCGAGGTGACACCGAGCGGGGCCACGGCCCCTTCCTGCCCGCCCGGGCTCGGGGACATCCCCGGCCCTGGAGGACAAATCCTCCTCCAGCAGATCCCGAGCCAAGGAGGCCTCGGGCTGGGCGGGGAGGATGAGGAGGGAAGGGAGATCCTGGAGGGTGCCAGGACCACATCCCGGCCAAGGCACCCCCGTGCTCCAGGAGAGGCCCGGCCACATTTTGGGGTTTCTCCCCCCAAATCCCTGCTCCCCATCTCCGAGCACCGACAGTGCCGGGGCTGAGCCTCCCGGAGCCGAGCGGGAGTGGAGTGTGTGACCGGCCCCAGCCCCTGGAGAGCCGGGGACACGGGGACACGGTCAGGGAGAGCTCTGTTACAGCCCCGGGAGGCTCGGGAAGAGAAGAGTTGCCGTTCCCAGAGCCCCGCCGGGCCCGGCAGGGTTTGGTACCCGGCTCACGTCCCCGGCATTCCCCAGCCCCTGCTGCCGTATCCCGGGGCTGCCGCGCGTCTCCCCAGGGAAAAGGAGCCCTGGGGACACCCCGGAACTTCACTGCCGGGGTAGGAGGTGACAGTGGCTGGAGGACCCTGCAGCCCTTGCGGATCCATTCCTTTATTTATTGAGGTATTTTTTTCCCTCAGTTTCTCCATGAAAGAGGAAGGAGTTGGGGTTGAGCACGGCTGGACTGGGAGAGCTGGGCTGTCCCCACAAACGGGGCTGGGCTGAACCCCGTGTGACCCCAGCTCACACCAGGGAGCTCCAATCCACCCCTGGGGCCGGGCTGAGCCCTGCGAACTCATTGCACCAAACCCCACGGCACCCCCAAAGCTCAGGAGAGACCCTCCCCCATGGCCCCGATGCCACGCTGCACCCAGGGAGCTCAAAACACTGGAACACATCACGGGAATGTCCTGTGAACCCCCAGTCTGGTGGGACCCGGAGCTGTGAGCCCTGAACCCCCCCAGATCCCTGCAGGGCAGGGGGTGTTCACCCCAAAACTCTGCTGGGCCTGGAGGAATCTTTGCTTTCCTCATTATCCCTCTGGACTGAGCCCAGGAGGGACCCGGAGGGATCACAGAGAGCAAGGGATGCCTTTCCCCAGGAAACAATCCAGGACTGAATCCAGAGCATCCCCCCGACCTCCTGCACTGGGAGCCAGGATGGGGCCGCCTCAGCGCCACCCCAGCAATGCCCCAGGGACCTGGGAAACGTTAGGGCCAATCAACGCTGTCGGTAATTAAGGTGATGAGTTGATCCCTAAGCTGGCTCCGACAGCAGCCAGGGCCACAACAAAGCACCCTGAGCCCCACCTTGGGGACTCCAGAGACGGGGGTGGCACTCGGGGCTGGCTGCACACACCCCGTACATAACCCACGGCCTGATTAAAGCTCATCAGCCACTAATTACCGTGAGCAGAGCTGCCTGTCCTGCCCCCTCTGCCCAGGTGTCCCCAGCGGTCCCCGGATGCCACTCAGCTGCCAGCAGCCCGCTCTGCCTGCCCGGAGGAGGAGGAGGAGGAAGCAGCGGTTGCCCAGGCTGTGTGTGGTCTGGGGATGGGGAGCAGCCAGCATTCCCAGCAGCACACAGAGGAGCCCGTCCCGGCAATCTCGGCTGTCCCGCAGGGCGCTGAGCCCATCCCTGCCCCGGGAATGGCTCATGCAGGAGCCTGGGTCTCCCTCGTCCCCTCTCTGCGTGTCCATATCCAGCTCCGAAGGGATGAGGCAGGACAAGGGACGAGCTCGTGAGCCCTGGGAAATGACAGCCAAACCCAAACCTGTCCACGGCACTGTTGGGAAAACCCCTCTGCCAGGGGGTCCCGCCAGGAGAAGCAGCCCTGTCCCCCAGTTTTCCCACGCTGGCACACAAAGGGTTACAGGGACTGATCCCAAGGGGATCCATCCCAGCTTCCTCAAAGCCCGGCCGAGAGGGGTCAGGACAGCAGGAGATCAAAGTGAGGCATCGAGTCCCGGGGAGATGTCACAGCCAGCAAGGCTCCAGCCACGCCAGGGCCCGGCTCCTGTCCCCGTCCCTGTCCCTCTGCGCTGCCCGGGATGCGCAGCTCACAGGGAGCTCACGGGGCGGTGCCAGCGGGGCTGGAGTTGCTCGTCCGGGCTCCTCAGAGCAGCCAGGAACGCTCCGGGTGCTGCTCCAGGGAAAGGTTCCCTGGCAGGGCCCAGGAACCAGCACTGGGGGACAGGAACCCCCAATTCCATCCCCATCCCATCGTCATGGATGTGCCAGAGCTGTGCCAAGTCACTGCTTCCCTCCCGGAGACCCAAGGCCTTGATCCCATCCAGGTGGAGGCAGCATCTCCTGCAGCCCTTGGGACTGTCCCATATCCCATCCCACATCCCATCACCTCCAGCCCGGCACCGAACAGCCCCACAGCCTCTCCCACGGCCTAAATCCCCTCAGGAAACACCAACAACCTCACCCAGTAACCAGCAACTCCAATTCCCTGAAAGGAGAAGGGGAAAAGCTCATCCAGGGAGGGTGAGCACCCCCAGAGCCGACCCCACACTGCCAGGTGTGCTGGGGACACGGCACAGCCACACTCACCCCACAGCACCGGGCATGGAGGGGAGCCCCAGTCGGAGCAGAGACTCCCCCACATCCATGGCAGAGGGAATTTTAGGCTCAGTAAAGTGTCCTTGGATCCAGAGGAGTCTCACGTCCCCTCAGGGACGCTGAAGTTGTGTCTCTGTTCCAGAGGGGCAGAGCCAGGGGAACGCCCCTCGGGCAGAAATGGGGGAGCCAGCCCGGGGCACCCCAAACCAGACCCCCGGCAGGAGCGGGATGAGCTCGGGGTGATTCAATGCAGCAGCCAGGCCCTCGGGCTTCTTCCCCTCTTTAAAGAGAGGAGGAGGAGGATGAGCAGCCTTCCTCCCTACCAGGCTCTCCCGTTGCTCCCGGGCGAGAAAAGCATCCTCTGGCTCCTTTCCGGAGAGCATCCCCCAAAAAGCAGCGCCCCAGTCCCCCAAAACTCCACGGCCCGGCTCCGGGCAGGGAGCAGGCGGGGCAGGGAGGTTCCCACGGACCCCAGGATCCCACGGCCCTTCTCTCCCAGGCGGAGCAGCAGTTTTGGAAGCGCCACGAGGATCCCCAGCCCCTTCTCCTCCTTCCACATGGGAAGGGAAAGGCGGGCGCTGCCTGCGCAGCCCGGGCTGCATCTGCCACCCCCCGCCCCATCAGGGATGCAGGAGGGGAGGGGGTCGGGGAGGAGGCAGAGGGGAAGGATGGGGGGCGAGTTCCTGCTGCCCCCCAGCAGCAGCGGGGGGGGTTCCTCGCTCTCCGCCCTTCAGGGAGATTTTTTTCCCTACGACCTTCAAACGGCAGCTGCCCGCAGCCCCCTCCCCACGGCCGCCACCCTGCCCGGCACCGCCCGGGGGGTCGCAGGGGAGGGGACAGCCCCGGGGGCAGCGCCTGCTGGGCTCGGGGGGCTCTGCGGGCCCGGCGCGGGTCAGGGTGCGGGGAGCGGAGCCCCTCGGGAGCTGGGGGATCCCACAGAGGGGCGCGGGTGCCGGAGTCCCCCAAGCCGGGTTCCGGTGCCGGGCGTGCCGCTGCCAGCCCTGCTCGGTGCCGGTTCCCCCCCCGGTTCGGCTGCCGGCCCCACGCCCCCAGCCCGCTGCGGGTGCCCCCCCGCTGCCGATCCTCGCACGGTACCGAGGCCGGTTCCGGACCGGATCCGCTGCCCGGGGCCGGCCCATGCACGATGCCGATGCCACCACCCCACAGCCCCGTCCCCCGCGGTACCGATCCGATACCGATCCACGCGCGGTGCCGGGGCCGGTCCCACCCCCCTGCCCACGGCAGCTCCTCCGCGGGGCCGGTGCCGCCCGCTGCCGGTGCCCGCTGACCCCTCCCGGTGTCGGTCCCCGCTGACCCCTCCCGGTGCCCCCTCCCGGTGCCGATGCTGATCCCTCCCGGTGCCGGTGCCCGCCGCCCCCTCCCGGTGCCGGTGCCGGTGCCGGTGCCGGTGGCGATCCCTCCCCTCACCCCCCTTGCGGTGCCGGTGTCCCCCGGGCCGTGTCCCCGCGGGTGCCCCCGCACTCACCAGCGCGGCGCGGGCGCTGAGCAGCAGCAGCAGCAGCAGCGGGAGGCTCCGCAGCCCCCGGGGCGCCGGCGGCGGCACCTCCCCGGGCATCTTCCTGCCGCAAGGACGCTGCCGGCGGCGGCGGGAGGCGGCGGGAGGCGGCGGCGGGGGCGGGGAAGGGCCTTTGTTGCCGCCGCCCGCGGGAGGCGGGCGGTGGGTGCGGGCTCTGGGTGCGGGGCCGCCGCCGCCGCCGCACCGCCCTCCCGGCCCCGCCGCGCCCCCC